TTAGTTATTAGTTAGTTAATTAATTAAGTTAAGTAAGTTAGTTAAGTTTAAGTTTACTTACGTTACTTCGTAGTAAGAAGACTACTACACTACTACACTTTAACTTTACTTCTCTCTCTCTCTCTCTCTCTCTCTCTCTCTCTCACACACACACACACACACACACACACACACACACACACACACACACACAAGAGTTTGAGGGGCAAGAATGTCCACTAAAACCTTTTTTCCCACCTTCTAGCGAGGAACAAGGAAAGAAATGCCCTTGTCCATGAAGTACGCTCGCCTAGTGCATAACTTAGCCTTTCTCTTTTTTTTGCCTACACCTAGATGACTTGGCAGCTGAATTTTGCAGCTTGATCCTTAAAATATTTTATAAAATGGTTCAGACATAGTTTAAGATCCAAATAGAAAATTTCCATTCTGCCACTACACAATATAGTACTTACACTATGGATCAGAGAACTGGTTATCGCACACTGTATAAAAACTCAAACATCATGTTCTTAAACACCAAAACAAAATGCTACCATAAACAAAAAATAAACAGTTGTTTGAAGTTGCAGCAGCCATCTTTCTGCTGCCTATATGATCAATACGATTTCAATGTTACTGATCACTCTGTAAATGTTAAAAGAGATTCTTGCTCTACCACGATATTCATAGTGTACATGGATGACATTGTGCTTATGGGAAATGAATCACAAAATCCAAAAAGGGGGATTGGGGAAGTGTTTTTGACATCAAGGATCTTAGTTCACTTAAATACTTCCTTAGAATAGAGGTGGCAAGTCTCAACAAGGACAAGAATTCTAAGAGGCACGCTATTAGAACCTCCCGTTGAGGCTAATCACCAATTGTATGATCAACAGTCGCAGGCCCTGAGTAACCCTAATGTATGTCATAGATTGGTTGGTAGAGTTATCCTTTTGACTATCATATGGCCAAACATAGCATATGCCATAGGCTTGGTGAGAGATTTTATGCACGCACCATGCTCCCATCACCCGGATGTTGTTTATCACATTTTACGATATTTAAAATCAGCTATAGGGAAATACTACTTTGTCCTAGTCACAATCACCTTGATATAGAAGGCTTTTGTGAAGAAGATTGGCTCATGTGTTCTCTTGATTGACGATCTACTAGTCGCTACTTTATGAAAGTGGGTGACAGCTTAGTCACTTGCAAAAGTAAGATGCAAAGTGTCGTAGCCCACACTTTAGCAAAAGCCAAGTATTGAGCAAAACACGTGCTACATCCAAAGAACTTGGATTGTCCTCTTTTCAAGAGATGGGTGTTAATGCAGCAACCTCTACTCCTTTACATTGTGATAATCAAGCAACAATTTATATTGCCTCAAACCTTGTATTCCAAGAAAGAACTAAGCATATTGCCGTCGACTTTCACTCTGTCGAAGAAAAAGTCACCTCAAAAATAGTGTGGACTCCATTTGTTGGCTCAAAAAATCAATCGGTAAACATAGTTACCAAAGCTTCTAATCAAGTTCGACAAAAAGACACTCTGGGCAAGTTGGGCATCTATGCTATACATGCTCCAACTTGAGGGGGGAGGAGAGTAAATTTTATGGGCCCCATGCTGATTAAGGAAACTGCCTATGATGAAGCATGTGATCATATACAGAGAGTGATCTTCTCCTCCAAGTTAACATTAATCTAGGTTAACCATCATTCCAATAGTTTACACTCAAGTGCATTAAAGTATGGTGTGCAGATAGTCCAAGTATGTAACTACGAAAGAAAACAAACTTGATCTAACAAAAACTGAACATTTTCAATGGGTCATCTTATGTTAGAGCAAATATCAGAGGCAAGCAAGGAACACATCCTTTTACATCAAGTTGAAGAGACTTTCCCGACGCATGTGACAAGTTTCTTCTTTTTGTTTGAAATAAAAAACTGGTACACAACTCTATATCTATATACAACCAATATCCTTAGTAACTTGTAAGTGTACTCCAAAATAGAGAAGCTCCAAAATAGAGAAGCCATTGTTCAATAGAACCCAATCTCAAATTAGCTTTAATCAGAGTCAAAATGCTGATCCAGATCGGGAATCAATGGTCAGCTCCCAGTCGAAACTGAGAATGGCCAGTACCCATCTTCCAATTCCCCTACAGAAATGGCCAAATCTATCAACTAATTGTGCGACCCAGATCATCTATATCCTACGACTTATATTTTCTATTTTTCTGTTTTTTATTTTAAATTATTTTTTGGATATTGTCAATCTGCATTGGCAATTTGTGGAACCAGACCGGTTTTCCAAATGACCGGTTCACTCGACCAATGCGGGTTTCAAAATACAACTAAACACAACAAATAATTCAAGGGTTTTACAAAGCTACATCTCTAAAACTGCATAAACTTTCAAGTCAACTCACAATGATACAAGACAAGCATGCATCCATCACACACAAATTGACCAAATATTTCCCATCAAGACAAAACAACCAACAATGTCTATTTGATATATCAGCTATATTGCAAGTACTAACATGGCAAGTCCACCAAAGTAAACTCAAACAAATTTCAAAAAAGGAGATTGTAGCAAGTAAGATGCACTCATATACACGATTTTTCGGGAAGCAATAATACCAAATATGTAAATGTAACGCACCTTCTCCCAATGAGGTATAACACTTTTAGGGGTGATTACAAGAACAGGATCACTGCAAAGCCTCTCTTGCTTCATGCAATAAATAAATGAAACTGCTTGAACCGTTTTCCCTAGACCCATATCATCTGAAAACAACATGGTGAAAACATAGTGAGGAAACAACCACACAATCGACAAGACTCAATCATGAACAAATATCGGAACATGAAAAGAAACAAAGTCACATAAACTATGAAACAAATTAACATGCTTATGCACAATGAAAAAACAAAACAATTCGAGCCTGGGTTGAAGCCAACCAATGAGCTTTCAGAGCCTCTCTTGAAGAAAGAGGTGAACATAATGAGGGAGATGTTGAGTCACACAGAAGGAGGCCAGGGCTGAAGATGGGGTTTCTGTGAAGATATGAAGTCAGATAAATTTGTTGGTGAATTGCCCTTTAGCGATTGTTTCTTCGAGGTCTATCAATGCTTTTGATGTTAGCCATGATGCCCCTTACATATTTAGAGCGATGGAGAAAGGCATCAAGGAGGTTGGGGAGCAACATGTTGTCACAGATAATCCTGTTCCAAATGTTGCTGCTGCTAATTTGTTGCGCATAGCTTACCCTCATATCTTTTGGACCCCATGCGCAACACACTTTATAGACCTCATGCTTGAGGCTATTGGAGGTTTGAGCGAGATTACATGTGCAATTAATAAGGCTAGGTCAGTTACATCTTTCATTTATAGACACACCCTCACCCTAAGCATGACTCATAGATTTACAAAGAAGGAGATAGTGAGGCTAGGCATCACAAGATTTGCTACCTGGTACCTATGTCTACAACGCATGGATTTGAGGAGGGCCCAGTTGAGGCAGATATTCGCCGCTGATGATTGGAGAACATGCAAGTGGGCCAAGGATCAAAAGGGGAAGAAGATGAGAGATATTCTCAAAGTCCTTTGTATGGGTGACAGTGACAAGTCCTCCATGGGCTACATATATGAGGCAACGAAAACTTGCAAGGAAGAGAGAGCCCACAAGTTGAATAATGATGTAAGCTGCTATGAGCTAGTTTGGAAGATTATTGATGAGATATAGGATAGGCAGCTACACCGACCATTGCATGCAGTTGGTTATTACTTGAACCAAGCTTTTCATTACATTGATAAGGATGTATACACAAATGACACAATTATGACCAGATTTAACAAGTGTCTGGATGTGCTAGTCCCTAATCAAGATACCCAATATAGCATATGTGTTCATGAGCTAATAAGTTACAAGTACAGAATGAAGCCTTTTGGGCATCCACAAAGGACCAAAACTGATCCAGGTAATAATATACTTAATCCAATCCTCAAGTTCAAGATTCATGTTTGTTGTTTGGTTTTTATATTTCATATATAATCAAAATTCATAATCAATTTGCAGCTAATTGGTGCGCCAACATGGGTGTACTCTTCAAACTTGAAACAGTTGGCCATTCGGATCTTGAGCCTAACCACTACCTAATCTGGCTATGAGTAGAATTGGAGTAACTTTGAGATGGTAATTTATTTTATTAGTTTAGAGTTTACTAATTTCAATAATTTGTATTAGCAGTTAATAATTCCTGATTACTATGTCAATAGTAAATTTATAATATTAATTAGTTTCATTTGATTTTATTAGATTCATACTAATAAAAGAAACAAGCTTGAAACAAAGGGGCTCAATGATCTAGTTTATGTGGAGTTAAATTGATACTTGAAGGAGAGATTTGCCAAGAGAGATAAGAGAGGACCCCTCATATAAAAAAACATGGATAATGCTATGGAGTGCTTGGTTGATGATGTTGATGTCGAGAGGCATGAAGGATTGACATGGGACATGGTCATGATGGCCACTGGTACAGTAGCAAACCATAGCGGGGCCACTAGTTCTTCTTTATAGAGGACGAGGGTGGCAAAGGTAAAGGAGGAAGCAGAGGCGGATTTAGAAGAGGCATAGCAAACAACCACTATGTGAAGGAGGAAGATGATTCTGATGATGATGAGCTTGACTCCGGAGCATATGATGCACCTGATTGTACCTTCTCTGATGATGATTGATGAGTAATGACTGAAGACTCTTTGAGTCTTCAAGTCTATATTTCTTTCCTTTTCCTTTTCCTCCACTTATGTGCATGTATGGACTATGTATTTGGAGTATGGAAAAGTTCATGTACATTGTGGACTATGAACAATTGATATATCATATTTGTTATTTCTTTACTTTTCCTGATGATGGCTTGATAACTGAATTTGAAAATTTTGAATGTTGGAATATATTTTCTTACATTTACTGTGTTTATGGAGTCTATGAAATATGGACAATGGTATGGAGTATAAACTAACGGTCTGAAATGTATGGATTATGGAATAATGGACTATGAATGGACAATAATATGGTATACATTTTTAATGTGTTATATTCCTCAATATGCATTTTTTAGTTTTTACACAAAATCTGGCCCTAAAACAGTTTGATTAGACACCCTCCTAAGCATATAATTCTACTTAGGCCGCACAAGTTTTCGGCGCCCGCCGAGGTGTTAGGCGGCCTAGACCCCCCAAGTCACCTAAGCGCCTCTTGGAGTTTTTTGGAACAATGATTGGATCTTTTGGAACAATGATTGGATCTTTTCAACCCAATCATGATTTTATACAATAATTTAAGCCTTGTAGTGATATTTTCCCATTTTTGGAGAGTAAAAAAAAACAGGTTTAAGGACAAAATTCAGGGCAAATATTTGGCTTCAAGCTCTCAAATTTCAATCAAGGAACATCTTGCAATGAACCATCAGACCGACTTATTTTTGCCATTTGTAAGAATTTGAGTTTCCAATTTAAGGTATGAAAGAGTTTCAGCGAGCCTCAGATATCATCCATTTGATGCCCAAGGGTAAGGGGCCACTCCCCCCAAAATAAAAAATAAAAATAATAAGACAACTTATTCTTGCTTTTTTAACTATGGTTGCTACAAGTTTTCCCAAGGAAATAACAATTTTTAGGCGAAGTTCCTCTTTCAGTTTTTATGGATCTATCGATTAGCTTTGGCTCCAATAGGCGATAAGATGAAGGAAAGCAGACTTACGAGGGCTGGCCATCAGCATCGTAGACCTAGTATAAAACCGGTTAGGAGAGGTGAATTGGTCCAAGTGGAAGGCTCTAAAAGAGGAACACAGAAAAGGACACGGATGGTAGTGAGAAGATACATGGTGACTTATGGTCTAACTGAGCGCATGATCCTTGATAAAGCAGAATGGCGGAACACGATTCATATAGCTGACCCCAAATAGTTGGGTTTAAGCTCGGATGATGATGATGATGATAATGATGATGAAGGATCCATCGATTAGATAACCAAATACAAGGCCACTATTTAATAAGCATTGACTTGAGGTTTGAATCGAATCAAGACATTAAGGTGTCAGTCAAATGAAATTTAATATAGATTTTAAAAAAACTACTTGATGTTTGTCAAATTACAACTCTCGCATTTCATCGTCAAGGTCCATGCCCTTATTAGACCATTTCACAAAAATTAAATAAAGGAAAAAATTACAAAAGATCTCAAATCATCCTAAAAACTATCAAAATCATCTAAAAAATTATTTCAAAACAATATATTAATCATTTCTTTATCTAAAATTCTATAACATTTTCTCAAAAACAATTAGGGGGCTTTTGTGGGGTGCAAGAATCGCCTCCCCACCAGAATAAGGCCATAGGCTAGATAGAGTCATCTTCAATTAGAGAATATCCCTCCCCTCTCTCCATTTCACCTTCTGCAACAAATGATGCCGTACCCTTCTAACTTTAAAAAACACCTAGATCCTCCCAACAAGCTTCAATTGTGAGCTGAAGTCTACCACTGCAAATGGCCAAGAGTCAGACATTGCCTAAACGGCCATGGAGCTTGTTCTCGCGTTCCAAGAATTTTATGGAACCCTAGAATCGCAAGCCCTAATCCTAACCAGTCCCAATTCTGGTTGTATAATCCCACCTTTCATATTGTAGCGCTACTGCATATTTACAAGGAGTGTTCTAGGGTGTATCCAAATCTCATGAGTAGTTCTTTATTTTAGTGGTTGATTTATGGTCATAGTATAGCACCAATGTAACAACAAACATCAAGAATGGAATATGCATTTAAACAAATCGCTATTGGAAAAAACTACCTAGAATGGGCCAGATCAGTGTGATTATTTCCTGTTTGAAGATAAAGAAAGGGTCATATTGATGGTTGTAAAGTGAAACGAGATGTTATGGATCCATCTTATTCTGACTGCAAGCCTAGATATAAGGATCAACTGCCTTTTGAGTACCATGCAGCCAAACAAGCATTGCAAATTTAGGATTAATGATACTTCAATAGAATTATGGGATGTTGTGGTTGAAGCTTACTCATTGAAGAAGAATGTCATGAAAATCGATGGGTTGGAATAGCAAAACAATAATTTCAAACAAAAAGATCTATCAGCTGGAGAGTGATTGGATCCGCATTTGTTTGGTAAAAAGAATTATAATGGCCTACAGGGTTTATGGGACGAGCTAAACCACTACCAACGCACAAGCTGCTCTCATTTTGCAAAAGAACAAATAGCAAGGATAGAACAAAAAAAGATAATTGGTCTTCTAGGGAGTCTTACTCTCCATAATACGAAACTATTAGATTTAATCTTTTGAGGGTGAATTGCTTGCACCACATGAACGGTATTTCTTTTCTTTAGTTTAAGAAACTCATATAGACTAATGGTCTTGCCACATGTGAATTTGAAAGGTGTGGCCTTGTTTCCAACTCTTCCAATGGTCGTTGTGAGGGCCGATATGATGGTTTAGGTGGAGGCAATATTGTTGGTCATAGAAACTTCACTCTTAATAAGAAAAACAAAATTAAATTCACCCATTGGGGAAACTTCAATATACTAAAGAGATGTGCTGGGATATCATTGGATGCCCCTAAGTGCAAGTCAACTTGCGCTTACGAGTGGGGAGACATCATACTTTGTGTCGGTAGCATGAGTTGGAGATTGTTTCCAGGCAAGAGCTTCATAATCTTAAAAAGAGTGCCTTAACACATGATGAGCCTTCTTCTTTCTCTACAACAAACCTTCCCAATCAGGTGCATCTACATCTGCACATCACGTCTCCCAGAATACATCTTGCGCACCTTGGATCTTTGAGTCAAGAGCCATCGAACGTAACTAGCATGTATAATCTTTTTGAAATCGAGAATTTGTCAACAATGCCAATGGAGCCCTTGTTCCATTCAAAGGAAAATGGACTGTAGTAACTTCCATGGTTGATTTGTCCTCGACCTTACATGTTCCTACTCTCTCCAATAACTACTTGTCAGCAATCTTGCAGAACTCTAAATTACTGTGTAGCCATTTTCCCATCTTGATTAGTTTTTCAGGAGTTATTTAAGGGGAAGACATTTGGGCATGGTAATGAGGATGAACAATATAACTTCTAATATGCATCTTCAATTGCTAGAAAAAACATATATAACTGTGACACACCCATCTGCATCTCTTTACACATTTACATTCTTCGTTTCTGAGAACCTCTGCATTGTTGAGTCAAGTTCAATTACTGTGTAAAACATTTTCGAACTTCATCGCCAATTAGTAATAAAAAAAGTGAGATTCCTATCTCTTTTACACAAGCTGACGCGTTGGGTCCCTCTATTGTTCCTGGCTTTGGTTTTTGATCCTTTGTTACTTTTGTAAATGAATATTCAAAATTAACAAAAATCTATTTAATGAAACATAAGGATGAAGTTACAAACCTCTTCAAAGTTTTCCATGCATTGGTCAGAACTCAATTTGTCATTCGGATACTGTTGGTGGATATGTTTTGAATCATCTCGAAGATTCTCTAAATATTCAGGTATTGCGTTGTAAGTAAATATTGTTATGCCTCTCAACAAATTGGAATTGCTGAGCCAAAAAATCAATACTTGTTTTTTTTTTTTGACAAATAGAAAAATCAATACTTGTTGGAAGTTACTTGGCTGGTCATGCTAAGAACGGAAGTTTCAAAAATTCTACGACCTGAAGTTGTTCTTATTGCAATCTTGTTGACAAATTGTATGCCATCGAGATTCTTCTAGACGACTCTCATGTCACCTTTTTTTAATCATTTTTACATTTCATATTTGTTGGACGACAATGTTTCTAAAGTCCAGAATCACCACTCCTCAAATGTCAACGTAAAACCAATTCCTAACCTTGTCTCAAATAATTCTTCCCATTCTCGTACTACTTCAGAAAATCCAAATCCAACAATCTTTTCTAATCTTGAACTACCTGCTGCCTTCACCAAGGGAAAGCATTCCTAAGGTCAGCATCTCGTAATTAACTTTGTTTCTTACAATTATATGCCACCTTTTTTCATTTTTTTAATCAATGCTTTCCATTATTTGCATCCCATCCTGTGCTGCGAAAGCTCAATCACAACCTTAATAAAAGGTTGTGATGTGTAAGGAAATGCAGGCTCTAGAATTAAAAATGCTGGGTAATACTTGCAAACTAACTAAACTTCCAAAAGAAGAGGTGGTTGGATGTAAGTGTTGCTCACAGTAAAATAAAAGGCATATGGAAAGATTGATTGTAGAAGGTTTTGCACAGACTTGTAGTAAAGATTACAAAGAAACTGTCACCCATGTAGTGAAACTGAAAAGTGTTAGGATTAGCCTTTCCTGAGCAGCTAAAAAATCTTGGTATGTACATCAGCTGGATGTTAATAATAAAAAACAGCATTCTAATATGGAGACCTGCATAAAGAAGTCTATATGGCAATTCCGCTAGGTTTTGAGCTTCAAGGGAGACAACAAGTGTGCAAATTGAAAATGTCAATATATGGCTTCCACAATCGCCTAAACCATGGTTTGAGAAATTCAGCAATGCCTTGCTAAATAGTTGAATTCAAGGATCAAGTTCGTCACACATTGTATGTGATGAAAAATGGTGAAAGACTTATAGTAAACACCAGAGCATGTTGATGACATTGTAGTGGCAAGGAATAGCTTTGAAGACATTGAAAGCCACAAGGGCAACCCAAATAAAGTTTTTGAATTGAAATATTTGGGTCCACTTAAGATGCCTTATGGGTATTGAAGCAGCAATGTCAAAAAGGAAAAACAATTTTTCAAAGAAAATATATGTCATATAAATTACAGAAACTAGAACACTAAGAGCTAGGCTACTAGACATCTGATGGAACCCAACATCCTCCCCATGCACAGATGGATGAGTTAAGAGTTACTAAAGAACCCAAGTCAATATCAAAGGACTTACAGTAAACACAGAGTATGTTGATGACATTGTAGTGGCAAGGGATAAGATTTGACGACATTGAAGGCCTCAAGGGCAACCCAAATAAATTGTGAATTAAAATATTCAGGTCCACAAAGATGTTTTATGGGTATTGAAGCAGCAAGGTCAAAAAAGAAAAACAATCTTACAAAGAAAATACATGCCATACCGATTACAGAAAACTAGAACACTATGTGCAAGGCTAATAGACACCTGATGGAACCCCACCATCCTCTCCATGCACAGATGGAAGAGTTAAGAGTTGCTAACGAACCCAAGTCAATATCAAACATTAGTGGGCAAGCTAATACCTCACAATTAGACATTATCTCATGCAAACAGTTTAGTTATATCAATTCATGAAAACTTCACTTAGAAGTTGTGAATCGTATCCTAAAGCATCTCAAGTCTTCTCCAAGAGGAGGACTGCTAATTTACTTATCATGATCATGTGGATTTTTAAATTTACACAAATGCTCATATTGGACAGGTTGCCAGACTAATAGAAGGTTGACTGCAGGTTACTGTATTTTTGTCGGTACTTATTTGCTTTATTAGAAGAGATACAAGCAAAATTTAGTGGTCAATAAAAGTGCCAAAGCAAAATATCGGGTCAAAAACTACAAGATATAATTGCAAAGATAGGCATGCTTGATATTTTTGCACCAGTTTAAAGGTAGTGTTGAAAGTACAATTTCCAGTTAGGAGCACACTTGGGATTCATTATTTAAATAAGGATATTTCTTGTAGTTCTTGTATTTCTTTTTCATGTCAAAAATATACAATGTGATTGGCATCACACATTAGACTAACCAACACATTCTACACAACTTGTCTTCATATCTCTCTTCTTTTCATTGACATCTCTCTTCATCTTCTTCATATTATCTTCTTTTCTCCTTTCCTTGTTGCACAAGATATGATTATAAAATTCATAGATATAAGCCAAGATGTATTCCTTTCAACTCAATAACACTAAACTTTCAACCCAGTTTGCAAAACCTTAGAGGAAGGCAGGTCCAGATGTGAGGACTCGTTAAGAAAATCCCCCAAGAAAAAGCCTACATCTTAGATTATACAAATAAAGACATGATGCAAACATTCGTCCAAATGACTTCACGAAAATCCATGAAATATTTTAGAAGTACCCCGTTTGAGTATGAACTTCCTCTCAACAGATTATGTTAAAAGGTTCTCTTTCAAGCAACAAACTAATCTATCACTCTTTGGTTGGATGGACTACTAGCACTTATTCACAGTTATCACAGTCATCAATCCAATTGTAGCTCTGAAACCATGTTCAAACATGTAAGTTTTACAATAAGATGGGAAGTCACAAGGAAAGTCACGAAAATGCAAGACAAAACAGATGTCAAGAGCTGCACAATCCACTTCTCTCTCAAGTTCACTACAAATAGACTTTATGCATCTCTTCATGCATATGCATAGTTATGAAAGTGAGGAAAAAACAAAGAGAGGTTAACTACAGAACAACAAAAGAATTAAGAAAGGTACAACAATAAAAAGTTAACAACTTTTTGAAAAGAAATAAAAAAGGAAAAACAAGTTAACAGCAATATCATTTAAGATATTGCCTTCATGAAAAGCACATTTTTTAAAATAACAATTTCATGAGTCAACACTAGAAGGTTTATTACAAGATGAATTTGAAAAAATATTTGAATAAGACAGCATTCAACAATATGGAATTCATAAAAGCAATGCCAATTGACAGGCAGCCATAAAATGGTTCCAATATCCTAAAACCATAGCAAGAAACAGAAATATGTTGCAATTAACATGCAAAATGTAATTAAAATATGTTGCAAGCATCCAAGATGCAGCATATTATCCAAGGACACAATGCATTTAAAATAAAAAAAGATGGACTAAACATGGCAACCCCATTTATTTATGAAGAACGAAGTATCCTTTGTTGATTCTTCGATAAAAGTAAATTTACTCAACAATCGCTATATCCGCAACCAACCTGAAACATTAATATGACTAGTCCACTCTAAAACAGTATGATGCCTTATTCAAACACAAAGCGAATCGTAGACAGCAGTAAGCTTGACAGGAGCAACCAACCAGCAAGGATGACACTCCGCTTGTCTAGGAAGTTGCTTAGGATCCAATTGAGTCCAAAAACTTGATATTCATGCAAAATACCACCCTTTAAGTAACAAGGCTGTTCAGTAAAAGCAATGAGGTGAGAGCCAGAAGAATGGTGTTCACATATCTCATTAGCTATACGATGTCTCTGCACGAGCTTGTCTGCCTGAGCCAAAAGCTCATCAGTGCAAGAAGTCTCCCAAGTTGCTTCACAGTAATCCAAACCCATCCACTTTACCAAAAATTCATACTCGCCAGCCCCATTTTGACACTGTTGAGAAGTATCATCAAAGTCTAGCATATTATTATTACTCTTCTCCCGACATGCAATAACACGGTCAATTTTAAACCACTCCGGTTTACGCTCATCGATCAAAAAGAAACCATCTTCCATAAATCTGCAAACAAGATATATTCGCCATGAACAAAGAAAGGGGACAACAGATGTTAATCGGAAGAAACATCGGCATATTGATCAAGGCAACACGAGAGGTCACAAACAAACATAAAGCAAAACCCAGAAAACAAGTGAACATCCATATAAATGCCAAAGAACAACACGACTAGGAAAAGATAGTCTTCAACAAAGAACAACATCAGAGTTTTATATTATATACAGTAGTTAAAGAGTAAGAGGATAAATAGTTAACCAAAAATCAGATACCAGATGCCAGTCCTTCAAATGCATAAATAAAATAGTGGCCCAACCAAAGCAACCAAGAATTTTACACATTACCAACTTTGCGCATACACAGATGAAGAAATCATCGGCAAAGAACCAGACAGTACATCCCCCAAGAATTGCCAAACATAAGAAACATAACTCCTTAGTAAGACACAAAGTTAGGATTATTCAATTCATGTACAACGAAAACGCTCCTCACTCATAGATACATCATAAGTACACTCTCAGGCATCTATATGGCAATAGCACCACCAAGAACGAAAATTTTTACCATAGAGAGTGTGATAGAATCGGCAGTACCGAAAGCCCCACGTAAGAACACGCGACAAATGTTCACTTCTGAAAATGTTCTTAGATGAGCATACATGCTTGAAATACAAGACATATTGGACATTGTATAATCTCATGCCAAGCATTTGAAACTTTGAACATAGAATATAAGATCTCTCATTTTCAGCTATTAAGAATTACATTTCGGATGCACACAGTTCGCTCCAGCGGGAGCACGATGTACATACTCTTACTCCCTAGGGTAAAAGACCTACTTAGGAGAGTAGGATCCACCACCAAACACAGGTTGACACTCTTCACCCATTGTGCAATCTCATGAGACAATCTCTGTAAGTTGCATAGATCTTCTCGCCATCAGATCAGTCTATAGTCACTTTTCAGCTATCACGAGCATTGGGCAGACAGCCTTCTATGAGTCACAAACTATTCATAAGGAGAGAGAGAAAGTCCAGGGAATAGGGATTGCAAGAAGGTACAGTTCCCTTGCCACCTAGGGAAAGAACAAATAGTCGCAAAGGGTATGTATACCACAATTGGAGTTGAACAGCACTCTAGACCAATAAACGAGAATTGGTTACCCACAATTACAAATAGGAATAAGGATTGGACTCTGGGAAAACATCCAAACTCACTCTGTGCAATCTGGTGGCATCAACATAAGTAGAAATGATCTGATGGATGCTAGAAATGATTAACATTGGGAAGATAATTTATCATCCATCACTAGCTTCATGTACAAACAAAAGAAAACATTGCACAGCCACAAACAAGTATCTCAGTGAAGGTATGGGAACTGATGCCTCTAAGTGCAACATTCAGTGTGCTGGAACACACACAAAAGAGATAATCAAAAGAGCAATGAGATGTTCAGCTATGCATTGCCACGAGATTGTATTCCTTGTAACCCTAGAACCACAAAATGCACCTAAAAAAGGCTGCCAAACTTTCATTTTCCAACAAGCGATAAGTGGTTATAACATGTTTTAAATAGGAAAGACTTATTATTGGACATTAGATCAATTACAATGAGGGATTAGATCACTTTTATACAAATGAAGATCTAAAACAATGTCTAGCAAACGTCAAAACAAATAATTAGAATACACGCTCCACACACATTTTGAAACACCACACACATTCTCAATACAAACTCAACAATAATAACCATTGACTTGTATTGTTTACTTAGATGCCAGTCGTACCATACCTTAATGTTGTTCATATGACATTACTAACTATCTCAAATTAATTAACTACTTTCTTCCAAAATAAAAAGAAACTCCAATACAAATTATGGACGCAATAAATTAAACAATAAGGCATCTGGAGTACAACACCATACAAAACAATCTGTGAGAAAACATAATACAATCGAACCAAATAAGTAAATGACTCGAGTAAAAATGAACTCAAATTTACAGCCTCAAATATCTAAGAAAAACAACGTTGACCAAAAAGCATGCCAGCAAAGAAAATAGCAGAGAATATAGTCTTTGAACGATCAAGAAGGCACTCAAGCGTACAAGCGTTTCTGTAGAAAGCTCTGCACACGTAAACGATGCACTTGTGAAATCCAATCAGCTGGAACCTGAGAAAGAAACAAGGTCCATTGCAGTAAAATTCTACAAAAGAATAACATGACGAATTATATACAAATAGTTTTCTTTCATGATACAAATATTACGCAACTCTTTGTGTCGTTTATCAACCCTAAAATCATTTTGTCCAAAAAGAAAAGCACTCTAAACCACATCAACCCATCAAAGGAGATAGAGAACCACCAATATAACTAACCAACTTCCCCACCACTGAAAATGCATAAATTGGAATGGAACAATGAGGGTATGGCCACTCAGACCTCCCATAGAATGCAAGCAAGATTCATAGGCTAAACTATAGTTACCCGAATCATGTACCAAGGTCGCGATTACGGTTTGCAATTCCACACTTCCCAAGAAGAAACAAGATTCTAGAAGATAGGAATCATGTTTCCAAGTTTCTCAAAACTCGTTCTAGATTACTGTTTGAATCTCGATTCCTGGAAGCTTGGAATCTAGATTCCATGTCGCAGAATTTGTTATTCATAGTTGCACAACAATTCAATTCAACGTGTGCAAGACTTTGATTCCAATTTTTTAGGAATTGCAAATCCATGTTGTTTGGAAGCTAGATCCAAATTGTCAAAAGATGCAGGTCCTAGATGCACTCATTAATGTTTCGAACAACATCAAATCAAGTTCTAATGATATAGAATAAAGATTCAAATACAAATGCTGGATGAAATATCTTCATAAATTGTATGCTGCCAGAGGAGCTCCAAGAACCCATTCTATGTTGCTGGCGGGGTTCTAGAAACCCTTTCGCATCATATTAAATTTTTGTACAAGGTTAAATACCCATGGTTTGAGTTTCGAGACAGTGATGTTGTGAGAGCCAAAAGCCTTAATAAACTTTTGAGATGAATCTATTTACAATAATCTTTGTTAAGTTACTAAACAAATTTATTAATATATGGGTGGCAGCCCCATCTCAAGGTAAGACATTTGGGTAGCAACCCAAACGTGTGGCAGTGCTGACAAGACGTCAATCTGCATAATATGGTCGCCGGAGGTAACTGTACTAAAAATATGGACTTTAGATTTCAAGCTTGTAAAAAATGTAAAACTTTACTTCTTTTCTCACAAAATACTTCACTCATTTACCGAAGAGAATTGGTGCACACTTCCTGAATTGTGGGAATTTCGGATACAAATAGATGTGGACAACGATTCCATTAATGTAGGAATAGCGATTCCCATTTTGTCATATCGCAATCCTGAAATCCATTGAACGGTGTGGGGTCATGTCCTATTCCTGATAGGTGGGAAACTCAATTCCAACATTTCGGGATACTGATTCTTAAAAGTAGGAATCACTGTTCCAATTTTATTAGAGCGTGATTTCGATTATTGAGAATCATGCCTCCGAAGATTTTCATTGTTTGAATAATGGTTCCAAGATTAGGAATCATCTAGCACACATGATTTCGAGATTCCGATTTCTGAAGCGAATCGGAATAATAGGCATTTCCAAGAACTATAGGCTAAACCATTGCCTTTGAAAAGCATAAATGAAATGCCTCACTGAAAGAAGTCGCAATGTGAAACTCAAGACTGTAAAATCAAAAGTTTTCCTGACCGATGGTGCATATTCTGATCTTATTGGTCTTCGTTGAATTTTCTGAGCCGAGGAGCTTCCTTAGGCAATACCTCATAAATCTAAGGTTCTAGAAATTAGGTATTCAACTATTACTCTTTAAAACCACTTAGGGCATGCCACAAAGGCACCTCATTTTCTAAGGCTGGACATGCCACCCTCTTCAAAAATCTAACCAGGGTTATGTGTGCCACCCTTATGCCTTATGGGGGTGACGTGTCACCTAGAGAGAGAGATGACAATTGTTAACTAGAGAGATAAGAGAGTGTGTGGGTGGAGGAGAGAGAAAATCAAGAGAGAGGCTAAGGAATTGAGTAGATAGTGAGAAGGGGGTCGCCTCCAGATATAGACCTCAACCACCACATATATGCCTATCCAATTAGGACTCACCTTAACCAATAGAAATTTACTGAGAGAGAATTAAACATGAGTCATCCATCCCATAAGTCAAACATCATGATTTAGGGAGGTATATTAGGGACATTATCCCTTGAACCTTTTATTTATATCCACTTCCAATCAAAATAGGATAAAACCAATTTAAAGATCCTTCAAGAATTTTCTTTATCTCTCATTAAATTGTATGAAGTCAAAAACAAAATATTTTGGTCAAAGATATTATCAAAAACTAACACCCATAAAATAAGCATACAATATCCTTTCAAAATATTTCGTTTTAACTAACTTTTAATTTTATAATAAAAAACAATGAGCAAACTAAGAGAGAGGAGAGAGAGAAGGAGTGGGGGGCTCGTTCCACACTTATGGGTGACATGTGGGGCCCCAAGCTCCACACCCCACCCATTGGGTGTGGCACGTAGGTGGGGCTGGATCCAAGAGCCCCACATGTGCCCCTTCACATGACAAGAATTACATAAATACCAATTTTTAGGACTTTACAGCTAAAATGAATAATAAAAATATTGAAGAAAGTTCTAAAACCGACAAAAACATTCTTAATATTGAAAACATAACATGTAGCAGTGGACTGGTATCAATGGGTCAAGACAAATTACTGTTAGGGCACTCTATCCTACACAATTATCGTGATCCACGACTGTCTTCTCAATCCGACCCAATGATACCCATGACTGAGTTTTATACCAGAGCTCATGATTGGCTTGTCAAAACGGGCCACAAATCAAAGGAACCATGGTCCCAAAATGTGGATAACACCCTCCCTTAAGAGCAAGTCACGCACATAACACTATAGTCCCGGAATGTGGACAACACCCCCCTTTAAGAGCAAGTCACACACATAACACTATAGTACTAGGGGGACTCTCAATAAGCAGATGTACATGTATCCCTTTCATGGTTGCTACCCTCTAATATAGTTGTCATATGTACATTGATGTGCAGAAGTTTGTTGAGGATTTAGCCATCGCACTCACAGACCTACATCCGCATATAGGAGACCACACAGCTCTTCTGGCCCACAAACCATCATTGAGCATCTCTCTGACCTCAATAAGGGCTTTCCCTCTGTAAACCTTTCGAAAGCACTGTAAGCCCAAGAGTAAGGGTTTTGGGCATGGCCAGGGCCACAGACCACTTAACCCTTAGTCAATCACCAAACAAAACGCTCCCACTAAAGTGCATGATCCACTATAAATGACTTTACATGCTCTCATGGCCTTTAGAGGCCACAAACCCCAATACTCATGTTATTAAGCACCGAAGAACCTCCAACATCTAACTCTAAATTTGAAAAGGTTCAACAAACAACACCAGGCTTATCCTAGTTTCCCCATCAGATTTCAACCTTAAATAGAAACAAGTATAATACTGCGCAATGAGAAATCTAGCTTTTGACCATTGTCTACCTGCACAGTCTTGGTCTTCCATAACACAAATCCTTCACAAAATTTCCAAGATCATTTCTTCAGTCAATTTATTGACCTCCATCAAAAGAGTTTCCGAAGAATGAAGAGCATGGTACCCAACATATCTCTAAAGTTGTTTAGCCATTTGTATTTTCCATTAAGGGGGGTCATATTCTTCCAACCCACATATACACAAGTATAATAAAATCATTTGCAGCCTCATAGGCTGTCCGCTTTAAGCAATTCACGCATCCTGCATATGGATATGCAGAGGCTTTTCAGGCATGAGCCCCTAGTTGAAAGACTACAGTAAGTAATATTCAGATTTTCATGGTGTCTGCACTTAACAATCAATTCAGAGAATTTTGTAAGACAATGACGCCAACATTTTGGATCTATATTTCCAAGAAGCCAAAAGCAGCAATTTTTCCACTGCAGAGAGAGCAAGAGTTCTAATGATTTCCTGGGCGAAAAACCGCAAGCTACTTAAGGGACTCACCAAAACAGACTATGAATCCAATTGGAAGGACAATACAATCCAAAAGACACAAACTTGCACAATCAAAGCATGGACTCCCCCCTCCTCAAGGGATTATCAAGGTCAATGATGCTCCTTGGGGAACCTGGGTCCATTTGGTGCATGTGGAATTTTCAAAGACTCTGAAGGGAGTCAATGACCATCACTTTCGCCTCCCACATTGGCTTTGGCAATTCAAACTCGATGGAAGGAAATGGTCTCCTCGAAGCTCTTAAGAGCTTCACTCTGAGTTAGGGGAAGCACTTGCTCAACGACACTGACTCCAGAAATGTTATATCCCGGGCAACGTGCACATCACAACCTCTTTAGTGACTAACCCATATGTTTGATCATATTGCCCATTTATGTGGGCAAGTTTGAGTCCGATTGCATCATACCTGGCAGTAGACAAACTTTGGCAGCTAATTCACTAGAAAAACAAGGGACTTCTGGAACATCCACAACCATCCAAGTGCAGTTTTACATTGGCTGGCAGCATGGGACTTAGGTTTCTCAATTTTTCATTTTTCAGATTTTGGGTAGAGCACCGACATGTGGGGCGTCTACCAAAAACACATCCCTATCCCTCCCCCCATTTTCTAACTCTATCTCTCACTCACCTCTCTCTATCTCTCCTCCCATTAATTTCTCTCTCCATCACCTCTTACTTTCTCTCCCCTCCCACGTCATCTCTCCACCATCTCCATCTTCATCTCTATCTCACTCATCCTTTCTCTCTCCATCTTTTCCCTTATCCTTACCTTTGCTTCCCAATTATTCTCTCCTTCTAACTGCAATCTTTCTTCTGTATGCTTTTTGTAAGCAAGGGACTTTTTCTTTTTCTTTCTTCTTGTTTTATTCTACGCTTCTGAGGACTGCAAATGGGGGATGCCATAACCCGCATCTGGAGGGTTTTTGTAAAACCTAAGTTATAACTTATAAGTTAGTATGACGCCACCTTTTTACAGAAAAGACCATTTGAACGTATATGGCAAAGATAACCAAACAGTTCCCATTAATTAACTCAATCAAGTGATTCAAAACTAATATTTAGCGTTTACATGACAGCCACCAAAAGAGTCATCAAATTCAAAGCAAAACAATCCAATCACTCGAAAGTTAGATGGGCAGCCATAAGGAAAAGAAAAAGATGGTCCAAAAGATAAACTATATAGCATACCCAGGTATCATGATGGTGTGAAAACCCCTTCCACTTAACCAAGTACAGATCATGAATAACATTATTCATAGGGTCAACAAGTTTTCTCTTTCGACCAACAATACTCTGGATCTTCAGCCGGCTCAAGGGTTTGGCACATCTACGATGACCCAATGACATTGAAGAAGAAGCAACACAATGAGGGCAAAGCCAATCTCCCTCAGGAACCACTGGTAAGGGAGGATAGAGGCAGAAGGTATGAAATGATAGTTCACAGCGGTCCCCATCGCATAGAAGCAAGAGATCATTTCCCCCATCAATCTAATTAAAGAAAGACCAGAAAGGACAATAAGACTGAAAATAGACCTGGAAAAAATACATATCAACAAAAACAAACCACAAAACGGTAACTATGCATGCAAACCTGACAAACATAACAAATGAAACCATCAGAAGATCCAGAAAAGGCAATGCCGGCAGCAAATTCATGGGTAGTCTCATTGGTAGGGATGACCTCTTCAGCTACAGGGTCAAGTGTATTCATGATATTAGGCAATATTATATCATATGAAATTGGAAAGCACATGCTACAGAAATTTCTCAAATGTAGATATATTTAAAACCAAATTCTGTAGAAAGAAAGGAGCAAGATATCAACACCAATATACCATATCAAAGGGAAGAATAGCATACCGGCACCGGATAAAAAGAGCAAATTCACAGTTAGTTTCACACCAAAATGCCAAGCTTACTCAAAGCAAAAAAAAAAAAAAACGCAAGTCTAGCAGTAACGTGCAACGTCAAATCCAATCAATGAAGAACCAAATAATACAAGACGAGAAACCAATTAAGGAAACCAAGGAAATATGATAGATACCTCCTCCATCATTTCCACAAGTCTCCGCAGCATTCCCATCTAAAGATTTGGGGGCTCTTACATTGCAAGATCTGTTGATCTTCCCAACAGTTCTGTTCATCTTATCCTCACCTTTGCAAGATCTTAATCTCGTCACTGGTCCCCTACTTGGTTGTTGACTTTGCTTGGTCTTCATAGCAGTCCCATCTAAAGATTCGGAGGCTCTAACAACACAAGATCTACTACCCCTCCTCATATTGTTCTTAGACTTATCATGGCCTTTGAGAGATCTTAATCTCGTTAGTGGTCCCCTAGTTGGAAACTGACCAGGATCATCATCAGTTGAGCATCCTGAATCTGAATGGTCGTGAATCTCACTTAACTCTGAGCAATTTTCTGCCACTGCACTAGATGAAGTTGAATCTGAGGCAATTGAGCTCTCTGGGGTATCTGCCTGCAAATACCAAGTGAAAGCACATCTGGTAACAAATTCAAATATTATCAAAGAAAAAGTGAGGCATCTATCACAAGTAATAAGAAATCACGACAGGTCTAACCTTTCGTATACGTTTAGGAGAGGTTGGGCCTTCGGTCAAGGGCAGCTTTCCTTGAAGCCTAATGGATCTTCGGCGAGTGGGACTAGCCACTGCACCAAGTTCGACAACTTTATTGCGCAAGCGCTTCGGAGAAAGCCTAGGTAAATGTTCTACAACACATTGGACACTATTAATTTCAAATTTGCAATAAAAGAACGGCTCCCTTAATCAATTTGTAAGCTCTAAAATTGTCATAGGAACATACCTATATTGACATCAATGGCACTTACAGCAGTACAGCAACTCTTCAGAAAACCATTATTTTCCAACTTGGGGTGCTTCTTTTCCCCATTCACACCGTCTTGGGGACATGCCTTGCAACTCACACCCACAGCATCAGAAGGATCTCCTATACCCAGCCCATTATAAATGTATTAAAGTGGATGCCCCAAGTGACACATCAGGGAAAGTATACTACAATCCAACAGAATATGAAGAACTGTTGTCAATCAGGGTCCACACAGGCCAATGAAGGGGAATCTCTCTCTCTCTCT